AAAGGATAAAGAAGTTGTCATTCATATATACAAAGGAATATTACTTAGCCATAAAAAGGAATGCATTTGAGTCAGTTCTACTGAAGTATATGACCGTCGAACCTATTCTATAGAGTGAATTAAGCCAGAAAGAAAAAAAAAACCATATATTAATGTATACATATGCAATCTAGGAAGCTGGTACTGATGAACCTATTTGCAAGGCAGCAGTGGAGACACAGATATAGAGAACAGACCTGTGGACACAGTGGGTGAAGGGGAGGGTGGGTGGAACAAATTGAGAGAGCAGCAATGACACATACACATTACCGACATTACCATGTGTAAAACAGACAGTATGTTTTGCTGTATGACACGGGAAGCTCACACCCAGTGCTCTGGAACCACCTGGAGAAGTGGATGGGGTGGGAGGTCAGAGGGATGTTCAAGAGGGAGGGGACATATGCATCCCCATGGCTGACTCATGCTGATGCGTGGCAGAAACCAACACAATATTGTAATGCAATTATTCTCTAATTAAAATAAATAACTTTTTTAAAAAGTCAAACTTTAAAAAAAAATTAGTTCTTAACCACAGTAGTATCGTCACAGTTAAAACATTACACTACAGAAAACTTACAATACAGTTTAGTAGTTCCTTTCTCTAGCCCTCCCCACCCCACTTCCTTCTCACCAAACTCATGCAACTACTTTCAATCACTTTTAAGCTGTTTTTGTAAATGTTTACCTACATATCTATAAATAATCCTGTTCTACTCTTCCTTGAGTAACCTGTTTCAAATATTATCTATTACATATCTGTCCTTCATGGTGGCTGAGGATCTCACCCTGTTAGTCCTCACCCATCTCATCTCCTACATTACTGCCACACCTATATTCTCAATGGTACAAAGCTTGGTTAAAACTTAGCATTTACATTTTAATGACAGTGTAAATATTGTTTGCTGCTGACCAGATAGTTTACCATGATCATTTCTGCTACAACTATTATTTTTCCTTGAGTTAATAACTGCTTTATTTCATTTGCTTAGCTTACTGTGTGAATGTTACAGGCTAAATCATGTCCTCCCTAAATATGTATGTTGAATTCTTAGCCCTCAGTACTTCAGAGTGTGACTATATTTGCAGACAGAGACTTTAAAGAGGTGATTAAGTTAAAATGAGGTCACTACGGTGGGTCTTCTAATCCAGTATGACCAGTGCCCATAAAGGGAAAACAGGAAATGAGGACACAGACACATACAGGGGAAAGACCACATGAAGATAACAGGGGGAAGGCAGCCATCTGCAAGCCAAGGACAGAGGCCTCAGAAGAAGCCAGCCCTGCTGACACCTGCATCTTGGACTCCACCCTCAAGAACTGTGAGAAAATGTACTTCTGCTGTTTAAGCCACCTACTCCATGGTATTTGTTATGGCAGCCCTACCAAACTAATACAATTAACTTTTTGTTTAAAAAAAAAAAAAGACACACGCACCGAGTGTTCATAGCAGCACAACTAGGCAACAAGACACAGAAACCACCTAAACATCAACAAGGAATGGATAAAGAAGATGTCATACATATACACATGGAATAAAAAAGAAAGAAAGAAAGAAAGCCATTTGCAACAACACTGATGGAGTGAGAGATTCTCATACTAAGTGAAGTCAGTCAGAAAGAGAAAGGTAAATACCATATGATACCACTTGTATGTGGAATCTAAAATATGACATACATGAACCTATCTGTGAAACAGAATCATGGACATAGAGAAAAGAACAGTGGTTGCCAAGGGGAAGGTTGTTGGGGGGAAATGGAGTGGGAGATTGAGGTCAGCAGATGTAAGCTTTTATATACAGAATGGATAAAGAACAAGGTCCTGCTGCAGAGAACTATATCCAATATCCCATGACAAATCAATGGAAAAATACATACATAAAAAGTGCATATACATGTATAAACAAATGACTTTGCTGTACAGCAGAAATTAACACAACACTGCAAATCAACTATACTTTGTAAAAAAAAATTGATAAAAACTTTTGCCTAGTTTGTTATTTTGTGTTTCTGTATTTCAGCTAACCAAAATGTGTATTTTATTGCTATTTCATTTCCCAGTTTTAGAAATTATCTACTGATGACCTATAATACCAAATATTTGGCTTTCATATAATCTCTACTCCTCCACTTACACATCCTTCATCCTGTTATAATATTACAGCTATGTAATTTTTGTTCACTGCCAAACCAAGTAATACACTATCAGCATTTCCTTTCTTGGACACCTTTTCATGTTATCTGGAATTAATAATTGCCTTATTTTTTCATTTAGTTTTCTCTATAGCTTCTGCTAGTTTTTCTATACCGCAGGAAACATATCCAGTGATCTATCAGTTCTCCTTTTATTATTTCATGTTATTTAATATTTTTCAGGCCCTCCCACTAGAGTCTTTTCTCCCCCTGCCCCACAGGTCAACGACACAGCTGTCACCCCTGAGCTTCCTGCACCTTACTCCTGAGTGGGATTCTCCATTTCCTTCCTGTCAAATAAGTCTGCTCATGTTTTGGTTTCTCATTTCCTATAACTGGAAGCTTCCTAAGACTGTCTAAAGGGGAATTATATTTCATCTGTCTTGTAGGATGCAGACATGTAGATGGCCTCAGGAATCCTGCAGACTTGCAGGCCCCATCAGAGCCTGGAAGAAGTGATGTTGGCGGAGATCACTTCCTTTCTCGCCTTCAGGTACACCTGCGCTGTACAGAAGAGTAAAACCAGGCAGAGAAAGACACTCTCCGCAACAAGGTTTTCCAGAAACCAAGAAAAGGCACGACCGATGCACCTGGATGCAAGAGATGCAAGAACTCCCGACGCTCTTCTCAGGAATGTGCCACCTTTCAAAAATCTGACTTAACTCACTCCCCAAGGGCAGAGCACGTTACGAGACATGTGATGCTTCTGCCCTCATCACCTGGAGTGAGAGACTCTGAAAGCAAACTCCCCCAAGCTCATCAGCTGTATAATTAACCAACTCAAAATCTTCCAGTACTGCTCAAGGAAATCAGCAGGTGGGCAGCCCTGTTAGCCCAGGAGACTGCTGGCAGGCGTGCCTCCAAACAGCCCAGATTTTGCCCTGCCCTTCCTCCAGCTCCTCCTGGGCCCTTGATCTCAGACCAGCAGTGATCATGGCTTTGTGAAAACTCCCATCTGGGTTTTGTGCCATTTCCCATGCAGTCTTGGATGGGTACCTTAGAAAGCCTGTTTTGCTCCAGGTTAAAATAAAAAAAAAAAGCCATGGTGAATTAATCCAGCACCACTGTCTTGTTTTTTAATTGAAAATTGTACCTTGAGGTGTATTCACTGAAAACAAACATACAAAGATCCAGGAAGCAGAGGGAGAGGCTATCTCCCACCACTTGGCTCTGCGACCCAGAAAATCAGGCTCGTGATCAGTGTAGTCTGAGCAGCATCCGCTAACCCACTGAGAAGGTATTCCTCCATGGTTTAGCATTGCCATAGGGACTCGGTGAGCAGCCCCGTGGCTTATCACGTAGCAGGGACTCAGGAACGCATGTGCTCCATCACTGAGGACTGCAGAGGAGCTGGTGGGAAGGTTCTGTGGCCCTTTTCGTAGCCCTGGTGCCATTTTTCCCTTTTCAGAGGAGGACACAGCAGACAGCTCTTCTCTTCGGCTGTCTGTCCTTTTCCTTCTATTTTTCTCACATTCCCTTCAAATGTGGCTGCCTGTGTGCTATGCTGATGTTTCCCCAAATGTATGTATCATATACTATTATATACCCCGTAAGTTAAGGCAGTGTTTCTTGGAAATATAATATCATGACGGTGAAATTCCTGTGAAAATGGGCTTGACCTAAGTAATCGTCACTGTATGGGATTTTTTAGGTCTTCAGTATGTTAGTTTATTGGAGAAGGAAATGGCAACCCACTTCAGTATTCTTGCCTGGAGAATCCCACGGACAGAGGAGCCTGGCAGGCTACAGTCCATGGGGTCACAAGAGTCGGACGCGACTTAGTGACTAAATCATCAGCACCATGTTAGTTTATGATCATGCTCCAAGACCAGGCTACTGAAAGCGGCATTTCCAAAACTTACTTGACCACAGAACCCTTTATTTGGGGAGGGGGAAAGGGCATGAAGTTTCCTTACATTTCATGGCCACTGGTCCAAGAAAACCAAAGAAAATGCTAGCAGAGCTGGCCTACAATGTCTCCAGCACCCATGGTTTATCTCTAAACCAGAGCAATGCAGGCTTTGGGGGAACAAAGAGACCAGGATTTGAAAATTTCCTTCACCATATCCTGGCTGTTTTACCACTACTTAACCTCTATGAGATCCATTTCCTTGTCTGTAAGATGGGGACAATTACACTTACCTTTTAAAGAGATGTTTAGAAGAGACTGAATGAGTGACTAAAGATAAAGCCCCCACTGAATGCCTCACGGTAGGTGGCATCAACATCAACAACTTCAGTGTTACCTGCCTATTTGCTGATGTCTGAAATACCTTTTAAGAATGAGTGAAATAGGTAAGAAACCAAGAAGAGGGGGTTAAATAAAGTAGTGGTTGTCTAACACTGAAGCAGCAAAATTATATGGCAAGATTTTTTTTAATACTACATTTAATACTACATAAAAATACTCATTTAGGAGATCAAGGATCAGGTTCTGACTTCTATATTTTTAACAGAATCTCTAAGGAATTAATTATGATGCAAATAAAACTTTGGTAACCACAACATTTGAAGTAAATATCTACACAGATCTATCTATCGAGACTGAGATGTAAATAATATCAGAGGCTTCTGTGAGAGCAAGTGGTGAGGACAGGGAGACGGTTAGCACACTGGTGACTAAGAAACGGAGCCAGAGAAGGCAAGCAGGACAGACTCAGAAGCTCTAGTTCCGGGTCTGAGGAGAGCGTGCCCAGGATGGTGGCCAGATGTGGAGAAGAGACTCACATGACCACGGCGGGTGTAGCAGGGAGGCTGGGGAGACTCACCAGTGGGACCCATCAGCGGCCATGCACTTGGGCTTGGTAAGCAGACTCCTGGCCCCAGAGTCACTTCCACTTTCCCTGCCAGTGCCTTTCATCCGCACCAGTTGCAGGCTGGATTTGCAGTCACAGCCCCCTGACAAGAACGGGCAGGGCTCCGAGAAAGCCAGATACTGAGTGACCCACGGCCCCAAGGTCTGGATGACAGGCAGAGCGGTCCCCTCTCCTGGTGATCCACAGGTCACCCACAGGTTTCCTGTCTATCTTTTGTGAATGGAGCCACCCAATCGCCCTCCTATTTGGTGAACCCAAAATTGAGACAGAAGGAAATGGTCATAGAAAGAGAAGCAAAGGGATCACAAAATAAACAAGTATGCCCCTGGATTTCAGGGTTCCTGTGAGGATTCCACACTGACATGGGGTCCAGCCAGGAGTGGCCCACTGTCTACTGTCCTCGGGGGAGGAACAAGAGGCACAGTTTTTAGGTATCAGACTGTGGACATCTTCAGTGCAAGGAGCAGGCCTTTCACTTCTGTCGCCCAAGTAGGTACGGGGCCCAGCATCCAGTAAGGACTCGATGGATTTCAGCTGGCTGACTGCACAGCTGACACAGATCCACATCAGCAAGTTTTTCGGACATATTTAGTGGGTGGCCACACTACAGAGGCCTCTTTATTGGGGCTGTGGTTCAGAGACAGAGTCTTGTCCCAGATTGAAATTTTTATGGTTTTGTCTGGCAAGAAAAGCTATATACACACACACACTGTACTTGAATACAAGTATAATATGCGATCAAATGAAAGTTCGCAATATGAAGACACAATGTGGTAATATGGATTAAAGGAAGTTTGGTTGGGTTGGGGCAGCCTCGTTAGGGAAGGACTCTTTGTGAAGTCACAGAGAAAATACTGGCTTTGGAGTCAGGCAATCTTGATCCACATTGAACTTAAATCTCCTCTTCTGTTAAATGAGAATACATAGTAGTAGTACTTGACTTATAGGATGGTTGGGAGGATTTAAGGACTGGAATGTAGAGCAAGCTAATATTTTACAACACTTTTTATATACACGTTTCACACTGGGTAGTGTGGCAGGGTGAATAATGGCCCCAAAGTGTGTCCACAGCCCAATCCCTGAACCCATGAACATATAACTTTGTGTGGTGAAAAGGGCTCTGGAGATGTCACTAACTCAAGGGTCTTGAGATGGAGAGATTATTCCGGGTTACCCAGACAGGCCCAATGTAACCCGAGGGGTCCTTATAAGGGGGAAGCAGGAGGATCGCAGTCACAGAAGGAGCTGGGAAGACAGGAAGGAGCAGAGCTGAGCTTGGAGGGATGCAGGGGCCCACAACAGGACTCAGACAAGAACAGAGCATGAGATGGCTGGCTGCCTGCGTATATGCTAAATTGCTTCAGTAGTGTCCTACTCTTTGCAACCCTACGGATCGTAGTCCACCAGGCTCCTCTGCCCATGGGATTCTCCAGGCAAGAATACTCGAGTGGGTTGCCATGCCCTTCTCCAGGGGATCTTCCCAACCCAGGGATAAAACCTGCATCTCTCAGGTCTCCTGCATTGGCAGGCAGGTTCTTTACCACTAGTACCACCTGGGAAGCCCAGATGGTTGGCTACTACTGATTTCCAAATAGACTCCCAAAGCATGTTCAGAAACAACAGCTGTGAAAGCCAGGACAGTCACTTCACAAGAGTTGTAATTTTTTTGAGAAGGAAGGAGGTAAAAAAAAAAAAGGCGGGGGGGGGATTGCAGGTTCCAAAGATCAAAAGCTCATACACTCAGATCAGAGGATGGAAGAAGAGGTGGGCTCCTGAGAGAAGTTCAGCCACCACCTGGGAAGAGATAAACCTGGGAGTGACGTGGAGGAGCATGCCAGGGAAGAAGGTCACATGTGAGACGCAGCCCTTCTGACCCAGAGGGGAGGTGGGCATGCAGCTGTTTGTGAAAATCAAAGTGTTAGTTGCTCAGTCGTGTCTGACTCTTTGCAACCCCATGAGCTATAGCCCACCAGGCTCCTCTGTCCACGGGATTCTCCAGGCAAGATACTGGAGTGGGTTGCCATGCCCTTCTCCAGGGGAACTTCCTCACCTATGGATTGAACCTGGGTCTCCAGCATTGCAGGCAGATTCTTTTAACACCTGAGCCACCAAGGAAGCCATGTGTGAGGTGCTACTAAAACCCAGCAGGATGAGTTCAGCCCATGCCGACCATAAAGGGTCTTCTTCCCCAGCTCACTTCAGTGGTTCTGGCAGAAACGCCCTGGGAGCTCCTCAGAGCATGCCCCACCCCGCAGCAGTAAGTAGGAAGTGAATGGAGACCAAGGACTTGAGGCAGCCAGAATGCCTGAGACAGCGAGTGTGCTTCCCACTGGGATCCCAACTCCAGGGCTCCAGCGGAGGGCCCAGCAGAAGGCTAAGAGGATCCATTCACTGAGAGGGGTCGGGGTCGAAGGAAGACCACAAGTACACAGAAATCACGGCCGCGGCCTGGACTTGGCTCATGGACAGCGGGGAGCAGCACAGCAAGCTCAGAGCAAGGAACAAGTCCTGCTCACCCGAGAAGAAAGCATGGGCTCATCTGAGGCTCTGAGTACTGTCAACGAGAACTCTCTCCCTCCAGCTATGACCCTGCGTGTGTTTTCCTTTGTACGCGGGCAGCATCCTGGAAAGGAAGGGGGATGGGAGAACCCCTAAGAAGGGAGAGCAACTGAAAATCTCAGGAAATTTCAACTCTGAATTAACAAAATTTATAAGAAATTTATGACTTATGAGAATTGATTTAAAAAGAAATTGTTTTAGCCAAATAATTTGACTTGTCTTGGCATGACAGAAAAATTCTGCCCCACCACCGAAGGCAAGTTGAATTTGATTATAGAAAAGGAAGCTGAAATACACTGTTGTTCTTGCAACTTGTGACTATGGCTGTTAAGCCTGGTACCTGGGCGTGAAGCACTCAGCACACAGGAGATGTTCAATGATATTATCACACATAGCCTTCTGCAAAGGAAGGAAGGGGTTTGTTTAGGGGAAAAGGGGGAAGGACATATTTTGTGGAAGGAACTAGAATCCAATATTAAAGGAAGTAGCAGGTATCTATTGCCACCCCTTCCTGACCAGCTGCTGAGGCTTGGGGAGCAGGGAGTGAATTTACCAAGGCTGCACCCACCCTAGTCCTGAGATTTGTGTGGGGAAGGATTTGCCAGAACAAAATCAGGGCAGGTGCAGAAGAGACCATGGGGGCTGGAGAGCAAAAGCCACGGATGCCACCTTAGCAGATATGATGGGACAGACATCAGAAGTTGGGAGAGAAGCACTCATAGCAAGGCAAAACTGAGAAAGCTGCTGAGAGGAGAAGGGAGGTGAGTTATCCCACTCAAGAGACACGAGCAGTTCTTACTAAAGTGTGAATGGCAGCCTGGATCTATTTATCCTGTATGTCCGGGAACCTTTAGCATGACACCTGGCAGTTTTTGAAATGTTTTCATTGAAAATAAAACCTGTCTCAATTGAGAGAACACTTTCCATAGCTAAGGAAAAATACATTCTTCAAAACTGATGGCTTTGCACACAGTGTAGGGTACCCTGGGAGATGCAGGAAGCTCTTTCATTTCACCTTATTACAGCCTCTGTATGAGAAGGCAGTGAGGAATCACAGGTGAGGAAGTTATAGCCTCTGGCCCCAAATTTTGCATGTTATCGACTATAACCTTCAGAGAAGCTAGTACCAACATTTTTTTTTTTTTGAGTAAGGCTTTTTAAAAAATTGCAGTATAATTCATTTACAATGTCATGTTAGTTTATACTGTACAATGAAGTGATCAGCTATTTGTATACAGAGATCTCCTCCTTCTTGGACCTCCCTCCAAGCCCACCCCCATCCCACCCGTCTAGGTCATCACAGAGCACAGAGCTGAGGTCCCGGTGCTATATGCAGCTCCTTGCTAGCTTCTATTTTACACATGGTAGTGTATATATGTCAGCGTTACTCTCTCCATTCCCCCCCCCCTTTTTCTCTCTTTTTCTGTTTAATCAAGTTTTCCAGCCACCATGTTCTGACCAGGAAAAAAAATTCACTCTTTTCCCCTCAAAGAAACTCAGAAACTTAATCCATTCATGATGTAACTTTTGTCTGCTGAAGATCTCTGTTCAGTACCAGCTACAGAATGTTTTGGCCCCGTTGCAACACTAATTATTGATCCTCCCCAGACAGCCAGACCAGAGCATGGCACCAAGCTGGAAGCCCTCTAGGCGGGGTCCCGGGACGGACAGCAGGTGACAGGAGCCTGGCCTCTCTCCACCTCTTCCTCCTCCCATCCTGAAAGATGAGACTTTCCAAACACCTTTCCTCTGAAGAACCTGCTGCCAAGGCAGGAGACAGAAGAGACACAGATTCCATCCCTGGGTCCAGAAGATCCCCTGGAGAAGGGCATGGCAGCCCACTCCAGTGTTCTTGCCTGGGAATCCCACGGACAGAGGATCCTGGCGGGTACAGTCCACAGGGTCGCAAAGAGTCGGACCCCTGACTGAAGCGACAGCAAGCATGCATGCTCCCCCCACTACGTTTACCGGGACAGGTGATGCTTTGACTGCAAACTGTTACCAAGCCAGAGGCCTCTCCCGCCTTCAGAGCCTCCATTTAGCACTTAAGTTACATATTCCTTTCCATCCCATCGCTGGCCATTGCTTACAGCTCTGGGGTCTGTTTAGAGTTCTTTCTCAGTTCTTTTACCTGACTTACTGCAAATCCATAAATCTCACCCCTCCACCCTGACAGGTGAATAATATCTTGACTGCAAATAAGACTCCTCAGGCAGAGACCTTTCCTCTCGGAAGTGTATGTAGACATCATTCTACTATCTTCTAATTTGCAGTGTTGTCAGAATATAGTTCCAGTGACAATCTGATTCTTTTTTCCTGCCTAACTTTATTTTCCTGTCTCGAAGGATATAAATTTTTCTCCTTACCCTTTAGGTTTAGGAATTCTGGCAGATACAGTTAGTTATGTGGTTCTTCTCTTCAATACTGCCTGGAACACTGCTCAGAACACGTCACTCTGAAGGCTAAGGGTTTTCTTTAGCCTCAATTCTCTCCTCAGTGCAGATAAATTTCTTTTTATTATCTGTTTACAAATAAGCTCTCCAGCGCCTATTCTTTGCTCTTCCTGGAACTGTGCTGTTCGTATGTTAGGGTCTTGGGGGCCTAGGTACAAATCTGTTAAGTCCTTTCTTAATGATTTTCTTCCCTATGCAAATTTGCTCCATCTTTCTGCTCTCACCCTCCTGGTTCAAATTTCAATTGTCACCATCCTCTTCCACTCATCTGAAAGAATTTTAAATTCAAAGATCATGGTCTTTATTCCAGAGAATGTTCTTTTCTTTGTGCTAAAATCAAACCACCTTTGGCAGGCTTCTTGCCCTTTCACGTGAGCTCTTGAACAGGTCTCCCAGCACCTTCATTTCTTTGAGACACTGCCTGGACAGGGGTCCGACTGTTCTTTCTTGCTCTGAATTTGAGGTCTCTTTGCCCTTGGCTCTGGAGCCCAGGACTACACCAAGAGCAGAGCGCTGGCCACAGTCTGCCCCGCGTGCCAGCTGCTAAGAGCATCTGCAGGGAAATGTAAACAAGCACAGAACCAAGTGGAAGACAGTCTGCTCTTTATCTTCACGGTGGATGGCAATTTAAGCAACGTCAGTGATAAACACTCCGCTCTCCCAAAAGTCTTCTGCTGGTCTAAGTTTTAAACAACGGCTGTGGTTATAGTAGAGTTTGAATTATATATATGATAGCTTCAAATTAGCACATTTTTGTCACTTATCTCTTAATAGACACTGCATTCTACATGGAAGCTAAATTCATAAAACTTTCAGTTGCACAGTTGGCCCCCAATACACCCAACTCGGTGCTGAGCTTCGGTGAAGAATAAGTTCATAGCAAGTTGGAAATGTTCCAGTTCACATCTGTCTCCAGCCCCCATGGTACTAAGTGTCCCTGAGTCGGCACAGTGGGCTCTAAGTAAGCAATGACAGCATAGTAACCACTGTGGCCCAGAAAGAGGACTTGGGTCACTTCAGTTCTATTACAGTGGCGTTATCTGTGTTTAAAATCTTTTTTAATGAAAAGCAGTATGAACTGCAAGCCAAAATATTTCATCTGGGAAGCGAAATTTTAGTTCATGCATCTAACATCTTCTTGAATTTGAATAACATTTTGAAAATTAAAATTTCTTCTTCTTTGTTAACTCTTGTTTAAAAAGAACAATAAAAATTATTGTTACCAAACACTACATGATTATCTCTGAAAATAATGTTGTCATATGAAGGTGGGAGTATTAAAATATGACCTATGTTAGGCATGAAACACCTCACTGCTCCCCTGGGTCCACTCCCTGGGGCGCCTAAGTGGCCAGAAATGGTTCACAGCCCACCCTGTGGGCCAGTGGGGACCCAGCTGCAAGGCGCCATCCCCAGGACACCGCAAGACAAAACATCTGGGTCCCTGAGCCGCGTTGGCCAACACCAGCATTTCTGGGCGTCAAAAGCAGGGAGGATTTGCGTCCTGTTTCAGATCCCTCACACCTTCTCAGGACCTGGCACCAGGAAGCAGTCCCAGAGGCACGCTAGGGCCAGTTCTCTTCCCGTCACAGGCCGCAGACTGCTTTCTCCAGGAACCTGCACGCGGCTCCTCACCCCACCGCTCTCTACAGTGCCCCTCAGTACCTGTCACACTCAGAAAGAGAAAAAAGTCTTAAGATAGTTCCTTCCAAAGACTCCTGCCAAGCCCAAGGCCCGTTGACGGTCTCCAGACCATCCTGCCTGCACAGAAGTTGGGTTTGAGGAGGTCAGTCAGCTGCCATCTTTCCAGAGTCCCCACCGTGGGATTCACACGGTCACAGCTTCAGATGTGCAATCTGGAACTTTATTTTTTGATAACTAAACTTGAGTTCTTTGGCCATTCTTTTTCTACTTGGAATTGAAAAAAATGTTCCCAGTCAATGTAAATCAGTAACTGGCAGATTTAATCATGGTCGATTTCAGATTTAAATTGAGTCAGTTCAAGATGGCATCCTTCTCCCTTGCTCTGATCTTTGTCTCATGGCCAACCTGAGTTCCTGAGACACGCATTCTCCTGGCCTGGGGGAGAGGTGTCTGCTCTCTGTCATCAGCACCTGGGCCTCCTCTGAAAGATGGGCTCCTCAGTGTTCGTGATCAAGCTGGGGAGGTTTGGCAGTATCCCTGTGAATTTTTTGACACTCAGCCTATCAAGTTGTGGAGTCTCTTTGAACCCGGGCAGGACTTTGTAACTGCATCCAGGGAAAGAACGCAGTAGAAGCGCTGCCCCATGGGTTCTGAGACCCACTTAGAAAAGGCTGCATGGTTTCTATAAGTTGTTTTGGGGACACTGGCTCAGGGAGCCTTCAGCTACCATCAGAGATGTCTGGGACTGGTGGCTGCACTATGGCAAGACCGCATGAAGAAAGAGAGTCCTGAGCCGCACTGCTATGCCTGCCCTCAGCTGTCTGAGTCTCCCTGGCCCGGGGCGAGATGTGTAAGGAGACAGTCAAGGGAAGCCCAGCCCCCAGTGCCTCCTGACTGCATCCACACAAAGAACCTGAGCAAGAAGGCCCCGGTGAACCCAGCTACCCCGCCCCCACACTGGTGAGCAAAACTAAGGACTGTTCCGAGTTTAAACTCAAGCCAATGGCTTAAGCTAGTGTCTGGTTTGTTTTGCAGCAATAGACTGCTGAAACACAAGTCTATGGACACACCTTGACGTCTGTTCCCTCAGCAGAAGCAAAGCTCAGTAGCTGAACTGGGAGCTCCACCTCTTCCCTGCCATGGGTGATGCTCTGACTCTGGGACAAACCCCCATCCGTTTCTGGCCTGGGATAAATAACTCACAGCCTCTCTCATGAGGTCCCCACACCCAGGGCCACACGGATGCCCAGTAGTCCCATCAGCTCTCAACTCTCAGTCAACTTCCTGGTCCTACTCCAGTGTGAGAGGTGGCGGGCTACCCCCCAGTTCCTCTCCAGACAAGGTCGGCAGCCTGTGCCTCACCTACTGTGAGGGCCTCTTTGGGGGATGAGGCTAAAGACTGTCTAATTCTAGGTGAGAAACTGCAAGCCAAAACCCTCAGCCCTCAGACACACCAGGCATCTTCCCTGAGTGCAACCGTGTCTAAGCTTCAGTATCCTTCCTTTCTTATTTCTTAACCCTGCTGGATAGTTTTTCCTCTGATGTGAGATTCAAAGGTTCTTGCGTCATCCCATGTATTTCCATCTCTACTTTATGTGGCACATAACTATCCTCAAAATCCTCCAACAATTATGACTTATACAAGGCTGCAAGGGTTAGATCATCAAAGGTCTTATGGGTTAAACCAAGGAGTCTGCCCGAGAATAAAAATTCCTGGACACAGCCATAAGCAGCAGGCTTCAGCATCCCTCCTATCTCCCAACAGAGGATCTCAAATTATCAAAGAAACGGAAACAGAAGCTTCCGTTCCCCAGAATAAATCAGAACACCTCCCACCCCCATCATGACCAAAAATAAGGCAAAGGGTTACAGCAGTGTGGAGCCAGTCAGGAGAGCCTGCAGGATTTCCTCCGAGAAAAACTCTGCCACTGAGACAATCACCTCATTGCCAAATTCCAAAAGAGCTGAAGAGGGTGAGGTCATGGTTGTCTGCAAGTAAATCCAGTTTCCACGTCACGTCATCGTTCTCCATTAGAATCCCCACCTTGGCTCAAAGCTCATAGAGAAACACCTTGTGATGGATGCAGTCAGCAGGAGAGGCCTGAAATGCACACGGCCCCCTAGGCACTTTTTCTAAGGGCCGTCCCGTGTCACCTGTGTACGTGTGCAGGGCAAAAGGGCAGAGAAGGAAAAGCCGAACTGAAAGACAAAGAAAAGTTTCTCATCAGTTTTCTGATCCACAACAAAGAGAGAGCCATGAGGAAGGACTCATCTAGTGGGTACAGCCCAAGAGCTGGGAGAAAAGCGGGGCAGAGTCCTGGAGGTTTCAGACACTCATTCTCGGGGCGCAAGCCTACCCAGCTTGCATGAGAGAGGAGAAAAACAGAAGCACTGTTTCTGAATTTCCAATGACTGCAGCAGTCTTCCCGTAAAAACAGCAAGGGCCTTAGCTCAAAATACCAGTTCAGAAATTAGCCTTCTTTTGTAGCCATTTCTCTGATATTTTGAATGAAATTAACTTTATTAACAAAATCAATTGCAAAAGCACCAAAGCCATTATATGGAACATGAAGGAAAAGAAACTTGTCTCTCACACATACACAAAACCTTCATTGTCTGGCACACAGCAGGAGCTTAAATATGGAATAACAGTGAATGAATGAATGAATGAACAGCCCCTTAGAAGCCATGTAACATATTTCTTACCCTCTCTTTGCCTAGACTTCCAGGGAATCCGAAGGAATGGATATAGCTGCTGACTCAACCCTGGTACTAAATGATGGCACCATCCAAGTGTATGGCATCCTGTCAAGGCCTTGCCACCATCACCCAATCGTTACCCATTAGCCATTGTGTCTTCCCGGAGGCAGGGTTCCTCTCTGTCCTGGCACAGTGATCAGCATGCCAGGGGGACAGCTTTGTTCTCAGAGGTGTGTCTGCAGGATCCTCTGGGAGTCTGGGAGGATTCACGCCACTGGGATCCTCCATTGGGAGGACTCGCGGCATCTGGCAAAGGTACCTGCATCCAGGACAGCAGGACTGGGCGTCACCCTGGACTCCTGCTGCCAAAAGCATCTTCAGTTGAATGTGAACTGAGCTGTTCAGTCCCTACCACCACCTTTGGCGAAAGAGGCAAATGACGCTGTTCTCTTCAAATCAATCAGCCAGACTTCACTGAGCTTTCAGCTCCTGCCTGCAAGGAACTTACCATCTGTCAGAAGAAGCAAGCTTTGCACCCAAGGAACAATGAAGGAACTAACACCACATAGTCAAGACTAATGGGCCACGTGGGAGCATCTTTACCACTTCCCTTCTTTTTGCCCGTGGCAGGAAAATAAACACTGGCCCACAATAAACACATCGCAGAACTGAAACTGGACAAGACTTCCACTAAGACATGGAGAGAAAACAGTGAGGGATTTTTGTGATGCTCAGGAGAGCGCCAAAGAACTAAAGCACCTTCACTGCACTCAGGTGCTATTTTCAGCAAATGATGCCTCATGAAAGTGCAGGCCAGTGGTTCTCAGACTTGGGTGTATCAGAACCACCCAGAAGGCTTGTTAAAATAGAATGCTTAGTCTTTCCCCCGGGGTTTCTGATCCAAGAGATCCAGGTGGAGCCTGAGAATCTGTATTTATAATAAAATCTCAGGAGATACTGCTGCTGATGAGAGGGAGGGAGGACCCCACTCGGAGACCTGCTGATTTATGTGGCTATTTTGAAATGGACACTGTCTGTAAACGTTTGATCTATGTACATTCTAGGTGATGCCCAATTCTACATAAAGCATCTCACTGCTTGTTATTGAGAGGCCGTGGGAGGAGAAAGGAAGGGGTAGAAAGGGAGGGGAGAGGGAAAAGAGGAATAAAACTGTCACTATGGAAGAAGGTTAGCCATGATTACAGACTCACTCAGGGCTGGCAGAATCTAGTATCTGTAGGCTCCAGGAGGTGACATAATTGAGAAGGGGCAAGCAGAGATGAGAAACAGCCACTGTCCACTACAATGTGAGAGACAGCAGGGGCGCGGGGGCTGGCTTTGGGGACCCAGAACTTTACGCTGTCTCTAAAATGGACAGCCCCTATTCAATTCCAGTGGGGTGTCATTATTCAAAGAATGGGGCCTGACTTTTGAAAAGAATGAAAAATTTTGGATTTTTGTAAGATAGATCTATGAGGTATGATAACCAGACTCATGGTAAAAAAAAAAAAAAAAATTATCCATTCAGTATTTGGGATGACCCTAAAGACAAGATTAAGCAATTCTCCAGAATCCGGCTGTGGAACAATGACTGACATCTCTTAGGGAACAGAAAACTAGCCCCTCTGGCCAGAAGGCAAACAGGTCATCTCAAGTTTGGTGTGAGCAGCTTTCATCGCCAGCCAAGGTCATTGAACCTCGCTGAAATATGGCTTTTAAGGAGACCAGGGCCCTGTGCGCTGGATGCCAATCACTGTTCATCCCAGGACAAGAAGCCAGAGATACCTCCCCTGCCCTAGGACTCCGGGGAGCCTCCCCGGAGACTCTGTTCTCCCTCTGAGAACAGAGGCCATGGCGTGGAGCTCCGGGTGGCCCCAGCACAAGCCTCCCTTCCCGGACACGTAAGCAGGGACGCAAGCTCACCCCGCTGAGAGCCTCCGGGAGAGCTGGCAAGCAGCCCTCTGGGAGCAGGGCTGTGTCCCCTCACCCAAGGACCTCCGGAGCCCAGCTCAGGGCCCACTCAACATGCGAACTCAGGGCTGCGGACCTGAAGATACTTCCACCCAAATGAGAGCCCTCTGGAGAAGTAACCCACTTTCTTAAAAACCCTCATTTTCCTCTCTCTTCTTTGGTGCCCACAAACCTCTCCGCTCTCCTGGCCTCCCTGCTCTCCCCGTCCCCTCACCACAGGGTCCGCGCATCTATGTCTCGGATGCTGAAGGCTGCTTTTCGAGCCATTAGAGCAGAGGACCCGTGCCGCCCTTCACCTCCTGTCTCCAGGGGGTTCCAGGAGACGAGAACAGGCACAAGGAAGAGAAGACAACTGAGAATTACACATTTTAAAAGCTTTAAGCAGCACTTAACCTTAGACCCAAGGCAACTTCCAAAACCCCCAGCACAAGGCACCCCATTAGAAGCTGTGGTAGGGGTATGTGGCTTAGTTCAGAGAATGAAACCAGGTCTAGGGAGGTCAGTTCTCTCTTTACACGAGACTGAGGGGCTTCCTGGGATCCTGGAGTTTTCAGCACTGCAACTCAGAGTGTCCCAGGAAGAACAGGACGGATGGATGAGTAAATGACCGCAAGATTCCTGGCCCCAGGCCTGTCTTAAAAGGTTGAGTCAACTGAATGGGAAGTTTTCAAATATTCCCATACCATCATCACCCCCCCTTGCCTCCTACTTCTCCGCCAAATCAAAGTGTTGGAGGCGGGGATCGGAATGGGGAACACATGTAAAAGCATGGCTGATTCATGTCAATGTATGACAAAACCCACTACAATATTGTGAAGTAATTAGCCTCCAAGTAATAAAAATAAATGAAAAAAAAAAGTGTTGGAGACAAAATCAAAGGAGAAAATGGTGGACTAAGAACAATGAGTCCTTCGACCTCACCCACACTAGGAGACACAGCGTGAAGGGAAGAAAGCTAGAAGGCTTTGCTGACCTTGGCAGCACATTATTTAATCCACAAATTAAACAGAGTCCAGTCAGAGCGGTCCTGCCTTGGAAGTGGGGGAGCCATATGGGGAATGAGATGGAGACAGAAGCATGCTGGAGAGCCCCACCCTGGAGGATTTCATTCTAAGATGTATGCGTGTGCTAACTCGCTTCAGCCATGTCCAACTCTGCGACCCCATGGACTGTAGCCTGCCAGGCTCCTCTGTCCATGGGATTCTCCAGGCGAGAATACTGGAGTGGGTTGCTATTTCCTCCTCCAGGGGATCTTCCTGACCCAGGGATCGAACTCAGGTCTCTTACATCTCTTGCACTAGCAGGCGGGTTCTCTACCACGAGCACCACCTGGGAAGCCCTTAAGATGAGCCCTGCCCTCCGTTCACAGGCTGGTTCCAGGATCAGTTCCACAGATTCTGTTTTGCATTAGTGCTCTGGAACAATAAAGAAATGGGTTCTTGCAAATCATTTCTGGAAGCTGATTGCTTTGACACAGCAAACGTCAGCATTTTACCAAAGCAGATTTCTCCTCCATTTAGCTTATTTCACCATGAAATGACCCTATTCAGCAATAGTGTGTTAGATACCACGCTTGGACACTGCAATTCCCATCGATTGTCGGAAAGGGAGGAAGCGAAAGAAGGCTGTCCCAAATGGAACAGAAACTTTATTTAAAACAATTTTCTGAAAAACAGTGACTGACCAGAGGTTCTGAGCCAGGATAGCTGAGAACAAGCCATCATATTCCCCTTTCAAGGCAGAGCTCCCTGTTGCTTTCAGTTCAGTTCAGTTGCTCAGTCGTGTCCGACTCTTTGCGACCCCATGAATTGCAGCACACCAGGCCTCCCTGTCCATCATAAACTCCCGGAGTTTACTCAAACTCATGCCCATCGAGTCGGTAATGCCATCCAGCCATCTCATCCTCTGTCGTCCCCTTCTCCTCCTGCCCCCAACCCCTCCCAGCATCACGGTCTTTTCCAATGAGTCAACTCTTCGCATGAGGTGGCCAAAGGATTGGAGTTTCAGCTTCAGCATCAGTCCTTCCAATGAACACCCAGGACTGATCTCCTTTAGGATGGACTGGTTGGATCTCCTTGCAGTCCAAGGGACTCTCAAGAGTCTTCTCCAACACCATAGTTCAAAAGCATAAGTTTTTTGGTGCTCAGCTTTCTTCACAGTCCAACTCTCACATCCATACATGACCACTGGAAAAACCATAGCCTTGACTAGACAGACCTTTGTTGGCAAAGTAATGTCTCTGCTTTTTAATATGCTATCTAGGTTGGTCATAACTTTCCTTCCAAGGAGTAAGCGTCTTTTAATTTCATGGCTGCAGTCACCATCTGCAATGATTTTGGAGCCCAAAAAATAAAGTCTGACACTGTTTCCACTGTCTCCCCATCTATTTCCCATGAGGTGATGGGACCAGATGCCATGATCTTAGTTTCCTGAATGTTAAGCTTTAAGCCAACTTTTTCACTCTCCTCTTTCACTTTCATCAAGAGGCTTTTCAGTTCCTCTTCACTCTCTGCCATAAGGGTGGTGTCATCTGCATATCTAAGGCTATTGATATTTCTCCCAGCAATTTTGATTCCAGCTTGTGCTTCTTCCAGCCCAGCGTTTCTCATGATGTACTCTGCATATAAGTTAAATAAGCAGGGTGACAATATACAGCCTGACATACTCCTTTTCCTATTTGGAACCAGTCTGTTGTTCCATGTCCAGTTCTAACTATTGCTTCCTGACCTGCATACAGGTTTCTCAAGAGGCAGGTCAGGTGGTCTGATATTCCCATCTCTTTCAGAATTTTCCACAGTTTATTGTGACTGTTGCTTCTAGCAGACCACATATTTCTTAGTATCTCTGAAGAAGTGTTAAATCAAAAAGCTCCCTAAAGGTTGCTGACAAATCAGATGCTGCTCTGTAAAAATATGAACCCCACTGCCAGGGAAAACTGAAGGCCTAAAGAGTTTTAAAAAGGAAAAGGCCATTTCCCACTAACACACCACCCAGTAATCTGACATCCAGGGCATCTCGCCTCACATTAAAGGCACAGTTGTGGGTCCTAGTTGACTCACCCAAATCTTTGAAGTTTAAAACTCTTAGGAATATACAAAGAGAACATGGCCTTGACCAACCTGGAGCTCCATATTAATTTTGAAAATGATTTCTGACTGCAAAGTAATACCTTCTACCTGGGCAGCGCTGTTTCCAGAGCATCTCACACCCTCATGTCATTGACTTGCCACAAAAACCTGAATGCGTTCAAGACGGTATTCTCACACGTATCCCTCAACCAAGGGAAAGGAGGCTCAGAGAGCCCTTCATAACGTGCTCTAGATCACATGGCTTGAAAGTGACAGTCGGGTCTAACACCTAAGGTTTCTAATTTTTCTAACTTTCATTCCTCTTTTGAGTACTTCTTCAAATCAATCCAAGATTTCCTGCTAGCTTCTACAGTACCTGATAACAATTCATATATTCTGCCACAAAGAGCAAAGCTCCTGGTTTCTCCAGCGACTTTATCTACTTACATTTCTTAATGTATCAACTCTTATGTTAACAATTGTATAGCTTTATGTTCTATGGCTCAAATTCACTCAATCACTTCAGAAATATTTATCAGACTCCTCCAAGCAGTGTGAGAGAAACTGACAATGGAAACACAAAACTCAGTATTAACAGAGCAGTCGCTGCCCACACAGAACCCTCCACCCACAGCAGGGGCCAGCACACGTCCTCTGTAAGGCTTGGTGGCTATACCGTATCTGTCACAACTACTCTTTCACTGTAGGTAAGGAGAAAGCAGCCATGGAAGATGAATGGACGTGTCTGGGTTCCAATAAAACTTTATTTATAATCACAGGCAGTGCATAGGATTTGTCCCATGGGCTCCAGGTGGCCTTCTCCCCATCCAGAATGAGCCTCAAGGCAGAAAAATCCAACAATGAGACCATATGTTAAATGTTCTAAGATCATGTGTGGGTAACTTGGCACCACCACTCCTATCTGTGGCTGGGAAATACATTTCCTAGAATGCCCTTCCCTATGGCTCGAGGTTAAAGATGCCTAACAGGAAGTCATGTGAGATCATGAAGGCAGAAGAAAAGCAGAGGCCATTTCTTTAGGAGATCATAGTGGTCAAACAGGAAAAGAAACAAATGGTTATATGCCCAGAGGGCCCCAGTTGCCCACCTTCTCCTCTCAATCCACATCCAGCTCACATTCCTGGCTGCCAGCCCTTCTGACCACCAGTTGCCCCAAGTTCACCACAAGGCATCTGACTGAACCCTGTCCAAGTGACAGATTCCGCAGAGACAGCAATTTCTACATGCATTTCCATAAGCACCTCCCTTGGAGTTTCATGTCAGCAGTCAGGCACACATAGCATCTTGGATTTTCCTGAAGTTCTACTTCTTCCCAGCCTGTGCTTCAGGCAAGTGTTAACAAGAGACTACTTCTCTGACACTCTGACTTCCCCCTTCCAGACCTTCATTTCCTCATGGCCTTTCATTTTCATGTAAGAAAAGAAGTCCTGTATTAAATTCTATATCCCATGCTATGCTGTGAGAATTTGCATTCTTTCAAGAAGCAGACTCTAAAATGAGGATCACATTTAAGTACTTTATTTGGGAAGAGATGCCAGACAGTCTCACTAGCAATAAAAGCAGGAAGGGGAAGCGATAAATAAAAATTGTTTTATCAAGCCACTGCCATTCTGGGTAACTGAATTTTAATCCCAAGGGGTAACTCAGGAAACTATGCAAAACAAAGGTCTCAGAGTTATCCCACCTGAAAGGTGACGGAGCAAGGGTACTGATACATGAACTCCTATCAGCTGTTATTTAAGGGCTGCTGGGAGTGGGGATAAGAGACTTTCCACTGCCTTGAAGAACACCGTCAGGCAAAAAGATACAGAAGCTGGCAGCTGGAAACCTCACAAGTGGGCTGGAGGTTCAGGGGATGTGAGCAGGAAACGGACATCATCTTTGTGGTACTGTTCACTGCTGCAGGAAGCACCTGGCAGAGACTGAGCTCTCACGTACGTGTACGTAAATGAATGATTAAATGTGACTCGACGAATGGGAATGAAGTACTAATGCCCAATTTCATACAGGGAACTAGGCAAGTGATGCATATATCTGAGGCTAAAGTTCACACGCGTGCACGGTCAGGCACAGCAACTAACTGCACCCCTCCATGGGCTGCTTCCACAGGAAAATTGTGCAAAGTTTTCAAGTGCCTTAAAAGAGTCAATTTACTACACAACTGCAACAACAGCAATC